GGCTGCGCGGGGGCGGCTCCGAGGCCGCGGGGAGCCGCGCACTGCCCAGCGCAGCCCCCGCCATCCCGGCTTCGCTCAGTGCCGCTTAATTCCCTGGAAACCGCGCCTGCGAGGCGAACAAGTGGCTCACCGAAGGCTCCACACACCGGCACTTTTCCCTAACTCGCTGTCACCTCTTTCAGTTCCCAATAACAGGCGGCAGCTGCAGCAGCCACACGCTACAGCACATCTGTAAGGACAGCAGAGGGTAGTGACGCACCCAGCTTGTCCCAATACATCCAAATATTATTTTAGTACCCCCTTTCCCTCTTGGATTAGCCGGTCAATACTCTTAAGCCTTACAAAGTGTGACAGAGGTTTAACAACAGCTTCAAATGTTCCTGGTGTTCACACCAGTATCCCACCACTCTGCAACACTGCCACGGTCTCAACCTCAGCAGCTTTCTAAAGAAAGAAATTCCAAACCCTAGTTAAGGCAAGTAACAAAAAGTATTGCCTTTCACACATTTTGTATTTTAAATTCAGTTGCAACCCTTTGGGTTGGATAATATTTTATTTCATCGTATTTTGTTATTGCATCCCATTTTATTGCAATCTCTCAGTGTCAGTTTATCTTATTGGGATAACGACAAAAAAAAATTCAACCCAAAAACCAACCCCTAAAACAGACACCAGATTAATATGTTCTGGAGAAGCAGGAAAGACAGTAATTATCCAAGATCAGTTTTGAGGCCATATTTAAAATATGGAGTAGCTGTGTTTCACTATGTGCACTCAACATCTACTTCTGATCTCTCAGTTACACAACCTATTGGACCACGCTTTGGTTCCCACTGCCAACCCCTGCAAGATCTCTCTCCAGTAGAAACCAGACAGCTTGAGAGAAGGACAACAGCAGTAAGTTTAGGTCTTGTTCATAGTATGAGGAAATGACTTGGGCAGTGGCAGCCAGGAAGCAGGCCTGCTCTCCCATAACACAGACACAACTAACAAAGAACCCAGTGGGGATGGAGAGAAAAACATCAGAAAGTTCAAAATGCTCAACTTTTAAGTGTCATCAGCTTGCAGAAAAAAAGGACAGACAGAAAATATTGATGTCTAGGAATTTCAAATATTTTAATGTCATACCGGTTTCCCAAATACCAAAGTGTTTATACTGAAGTGTAAGACTTACCACAAACAGATCCTCCTGGTGCTGTGGAAGGGGTCGCGGCTCGCTTTGCCCCCAAGTGACTGGTGCGGACGGGAACAGCAGAGCTGGGAAAGGCGTCGTGCCCGCAGGCCGAACTGGAACCGCACCTCTTGCGTTTATGCCCTGCACTCCTCCCTGCCGGCGAGTCACAGAATCACAGAACCCTAGGGGTTGGAAGGGACCTCGAAAGATCATCTAGTCCAGCCCCCCTGCTAGAGCTGGATCACCCAGAGCACATCACACAGGAACAACGTGTCCAGGCGGGTTTGAATGTCTCCAGCGAAGGAGACTCCGCAGCCTCTCTGGGCAGCCTGTCCCAGGGCTCTGTCACTCCCACAGGGGAGAAGTCCTTCCTGAGATTCACCTTGAACCTCCTATGCTCCAATTTGCATCCATTACCCCTTGTCCTATCACTGGTCATCACTGA